ATTGAGTGACGGTCTTATTCCACTCCACACTGCACCTTATTCTTAGCAGGTGGCCTCATTTTTTCACTTTCTAAAGAAAACCCAAGCAATTGGGGTGAACTTCCCAATCTCTAACACCCTCAAATTCACCTATATTTTAATTCCTAATGATGAAGAAGGTGATAACTGCCAGACACTATGCATTACACGCACTGCCTCATTTTCTCCTCACAACGAGATGGGTGCTATTATCTGCATTCTACATATGAGGAAATGGAGGTTCAGGAAGACTTATCCACAGTCATATAGCTAGTAGGTGATAGAGCCAGAGTTAAACTCTAGGTCTGTCTGACTCCAAAGCCTGCATTTTCCCCAGGATTTCACTTACCTTCCCTCCCTCATTTCTTTCCTTCCCTCCCCGCTTCTCTCCTCCCTTCCTTTTCACTCCCTCTCCTTCCTTCCCCCTCCCTCAACTCAGAAAAAGAGATTAGAAACCATGCCTTTCCTCCTTTTCCTTCTTTAGGCCCCAAGGAAATAGCAAACATTGCAGAGAAGCTGTCATCAAGACATTTATGAATATTAGATGCAAGGGGCCAAGAGGGAGAGGACTGGAAAGACGAGGAGTAGGGGAACAGAAGGATATCAGCAACAATGGTATCCATATATCTTCTTTATCTCTGTTAGGGGAAAGAAGGCAATAAACTTTGCCTGACATACTAAATTCTACATGTCAATGAGATACTCAAGTGGATATGTCCTACAGCAAACAATATATACAGGGCTTAGATTGTAGACGTGGGAATCATTCAATTCAAGAAACTATAACTGAGTCATTCATTCATTCAACAAACATTTATTGCACAGCTACTATGTGCAAGGTATCTATTTTCTCAGCTCTGAATTGGAAGGCATTTTTTGGACAACAAGACATATAATTTGGAAAAAAAAATACCTGGAACGTATGTTATCATAACTTTACCTGGAAAGCTGTGGGAAAGACAGAGGTTAAACCAGGTGCTTGTCCTCAAGGAGCTCTGGGTCTGCTGTGGGAGTGGGAGGATCGGGAGGAGATGAACAAAAATACAAATGAGTAGAATTCCAGGCAGTTTGTGATATGTGCCATGATCTCAGTAGAAATCAATTGTGATAAGAGTGTGAGAGAGAGATAAATTTTGGTTAGAGAGAGATCTGTATGCTAGAGTCTCATTGGTCATTATAATTATTCATAACTTCTAAGTTAAATCAAGAGAGGAGGTGTTGAGAGAGAGGAAGAGAAACGGTGGATGGGGGAAAGGGGGGAGATGGGGGAGAGGGCAGGAGAGGAGAGGAGTGGAGAGGAGAGGGGAGGAGAGGAGAGAGAAGAGGCTCTAGGAGTAAGCCTTGGGGAAGGGTCACATTTGGAGGAAGGAGGATAGAAAGGAGCCAGGGAAGGAGTCAGAGGGAACATCCAGAGGAATAGGAGAACCAGAGTAATGCAAAGTTCCAGAAACAAAAGTGAGGAAGAGTTTCACAGAAGACAGCGAATTTGGTCTGCAGCATTTCATAAGGCACAAATCCTTCCTTTTGGCACAGTGACATTAGTCTGGTTGAGGAATGTTGGGAGAGGTCTTTTCCTGAAGTAGCCACTGGGCGGCAGTGGTGGCAGCAGCGGCAACTGCAGCTGTGTACAGGGACTAGCAGAAACCTAGCAGAGCTAAGCCCGGTGAAACCCAGCAGAGCTAAACCAGGTGAAACCTAAGCTAAACCAGTTTGAAGCAGTAGGAGCAGGAAGCTGACTCAGGCCGGGCCATCTCTAGTGTAGTGAACACTGGATTGTCCCCTTGCGTATATGCCAAGCCTCAAATCATGCTTGTCCTCCTCTGAAGAGGCCAGCTTCATCCCTGGAAGCAAAGTAATAGTACAAAATATCTTATAGATTAGCAACATTTTATGGTTTACAAAGTCTTTTCACACCTATTAACCGATTCAATATTCAGGAAACCCTAAAGGTTGGTATTATTATCCCCATTTCACTGATGAGGAAACTAAGTTACAAAGAGGTGTCCAGGGTCACACAACTAATACGTGGAAGAATAGGGATTTGAATTCAAGTCCGCCTGACTCCAAACACCTGGGCCTTCTATGCACTATCACAGCAGTCAGCTATCTAGGACTCAGGCTATGACTGCTTCCTCCATGCCTACCTTTTATCCACCTCCCAACCTGCAACAGAGCAAGGATGTTCAGGTTCCCCCCCCCCCCCCAGGAGATCTAGATTCTAGATTCCAGAGCCTCTCTTGGAGGCCTGCCTCCTCCTCTAACTCCCAGGATCCAGCTGGGCAACATTCTCGGGACCTGAAGATCAGGTTCAGAGTTCTCATTGCTTCCCAGCTCCCTTCAGAGTGGATTTTGCTCCAGCCTGCTCCTCCTCCCTGAGAGCACTACCCACCTCATCCTGAGAGTCCTCCAGACCCAGAGCTTACCCCCTATGCCCAAGACCTCCATAGCCACGGAGCCTTAGTTAGCCCCAGGAGCCCCAGGCCCAGAGCTCCTGACAATTTGGCGTTCCCCAGCATTCAGCTCTCAAACATATAGGCTTGGTCTCTGTACTTTCTCTACTGTATTCAGACCAGGGGCTCCTGGAGTGATAGAGAGGGATGAGTGGTGGTGTGTAGGAAGGGATGGAGTCTGTAAGGGAAGCATGTTGGCTAGCATCCTTGGGGAGGAGTGAACTGCCACCTCACCATCTCCTGTTATGTGCTCAGTAGGCATATCAACATTGACAGGCTGCAAAATGAACTCCCAATCTTTCCCCAAACCTGCCCCTCTCACAGCCTTCCCCATCTCTGTCAACAGTAAGTCCATTCTTCCGATTGCCCAGGCCAGGAGTCTTGGAGTCATTCTTGACACCTCTCTCTCTCTCACACCCCACATCAGTAAATCTTGTCTCCACTTTCAAAATCTAGCCGGAATCTGACCACTTCTCACCACCTCTACCACCCTGATCCAAGCCACCATCATCTCTATTGGCAATAGCCTCTGGACTAGTCTTCCTTCTGTGCCCCCAGCCCTGCAGTCTGTTCTCAACATAGAGCTAGGCAGTAATCCTTCTAAAATGTAAATCAGATCCTGACACTTGTCTCTTGTTAACTCAATGGCTTCCCATTCATTGAAAGTAAAAGCCAGGGAGTCCTCGCAATGGCTTCCAAGGACTGTCATGATCTGGTCCCTGCCAAACTCCCTACGTTTCCTCTTCCTCACAACCACTTGGTCTTTATTCAAAAGTCACCCGAGGGGCCGGCCCCATGGCGTAGTAGTTAAGTGTGCGCGCTCCGCTGCTGGCGGCCCGGGTTCGGATCCTGGGCGCGCACTGATGCACCGCTTGTCAAGCCATGCTGTGGCGGCCTCCCATATAAAGTGAAGGAAGACGGGCGCAGATGTTAGCTCAGGGCTAGTCTTCCTCAGCAAAAAGAGGAGGATTGGTGACAGATGTTAGCTCAGATCTTCCTCACAAAAAAAAAGAAAAAAAGATCACCCTAATATTTAAAACAGCAATGCTCTCTATTCCTCTTGTCCTTCTCTATTTCCCCTTCCTCCTTTATTTTTTCCATAACAGTGATCACAATCTATGTATTTTACTTGTTAATTTTATTATCTTTTCCCTCCCACTAGTTTGTAAGCTCCAGTAGAATAGGAGTTTTTGTCTGTTTTGTTCACTACTAGTGAACTATCAGTGCCTTGAACTGGATCAAGCACATAGTAGGCTCTCAGGAATTATTTGCTTATCTTTCCTGGACTAAAGCCAGGGGCTTAGAGAGGCAACTAAGCATAGCAATTAGGTACATGGATGCTAGAGCCTGGTTCAAGGCAGACCTGCCTGGGTTCAAATCTTGACTCTACCACTGATTAGCAAACTACCTAAACTCTCTGTGGCTTAGTTTTCTCGTCAGCAAAGTAGGGACAATAGTAGTATCCACTTCATAGAGACCCTGTGGGGCCATTAATAAGTCTAAAGCACTTATAACTATGCCTTGCACATAGTTAGTGCTATATAAGCATTTGTTATAATTATATGCACATACAGTTAAGATTTATATCAGTAGTTCAGATTTTCTAAAATCTTTCAATATGTTATCTTGCACTTGCCCACGTTAACATTCATTTCCCATGCTTCTGCTCACTTCCACAGATTTGTGCGATCTTCCTGTAGTTTCAGTTATCTCCTGTGGCCTGGCTCTTCATCTGTAAACTCAGACATTTCCTTGTGTACTCCCTCCTACAGTCATTTAGAAGCTGTTAAATAGTAATCTCGCTTGGCCCCAGTTTCCCAATCTGTACAGTGAGTGGATTGGACTAGATAATTTCAATGAGGCTTTCTAGCTCTAACAATCTCCCGGGAAGAGAGGAGGGATAGGCCCCACCCCCAACTCCACCCCCTTGGATATGCCCTCTGGCTGCCAAAGGGAAGGGTGACAGAGTCAGCTGGGCTCAGCTTCAAGGGGACCAGGTAGGAAACATGCCAAGTTTCTTGGGTATGGGTGATGATGGGGTTCCTGGGCTAGACCAGGCTGGGGGAAGGTGTCAGAGGTAACTGTAGTATGGAGACACAGGGACCAGGGTGAGAGGAGAGATGAAGTCACGTGTGAAGAGATGCCCTCTTCACAGGGACACAGCTGTTGTGATGAGCTAGGAGACAATTTGGATCTGGGCATCTTCCCACATTGGACAGTCCTGGTAGGCCTCCACCCACTTCAGCTAGCCAAGCTCTGAAGGACAGCATCAGCTGCAGAATGAGAACAACCCAAGTCCACTGACTGCCCTCCTGAGCCCTGGCACTGCCTGTTGACCACCACTCCCTTGGCTGGACCAAGATAGCCCGGGCCAGGGCCAGGCTGGCCTGGGTTGCACCTGAATACACTCCTCTCAGCTCCCCCTAATGCTTCAAACATTGCCCTCCCCATTCTCTGCTTTTTTGCCCCAGGTCAGGCCTAGAGGGGCTAGGGAAATCCAGCCATCCTCACTTCTGCCCTTTCCACCTCTAGGGGGACCATGGCCAATGCAGAGTCCTCGTTGCCCACAATCCTAGGCCTCAGCACAGATCCTGGCACAAGTGAGGTGGAGCTGGACAGCCGGTTTGACGAGGAGTTCAAGTTCATCCTGCTGCCCGTGAGCTATGCGGATTGTCTTTGTGCTGGGTCTAGGCCTCAATGCCCCGACCCTCTGGCTCTTCCTCTTTCGCCTCCGACCCTGGGATGCAACAGCCACCTACATGTTCCACCTGGCCTTGTCAGACACTTTGTATGTGCTGTCACTGCCCACCCTCATCTACTATTATGCGGCCCGCAACCACTGGCCCTTTGGCACTGGGCTCTGCAAATTTATCTGCTTTCTCTTCTGTTGGAACCTCTACTGCAGTGTCTTTTTCCTCACCTGCATCAGTGTGCATCGCTACCTGGGGATCTGCCACCCACTGCGGGCACTACGCTGGGGCCACCCGCACCTTGCAAGCCTTCTTTGCCTGGCAGTTTGGTTGGTCGTAGCTGGCTGCCTTGTACCCAACCTGTTCTTTGTCACAACCAGCACCAAGGAGGACACCATCCTGTGCCATGACACCACTCAGCCTGAGGAATTTGACCACTATGTACACTTCAGCTCAGCAATCATGGGGCTGCTCTTTGGCGTGCCCTGCCTGGTTACTCTCGTCTGCTATGGGCTCCTGGCCCGGCGCCTGTATCGGCCCTTGCCAGGGGCTGCCCAGTCGTCTTCTCGTCTGCGTTCTCTCCGCACCATCGCTGTGGTGCTGACTGTCTTTGCTGTCTGCTTCGTGCCTTTCCACATCACCCGCACCATTTATTACATGGCAAGGCTGTTGGAAGCTGACTGCCGGGTGCTGAACATTGTCAACGTGGTTTACAAGGGGACTCGGCCCCTGGCCAGTGCCAACAGCTGCCTGGATCCTGTGCTCTACCTGCTCACTGGGGCCAAGTATCGACCTCAGCTCTGGCAGCTCTGCAGTAATGGCGGGCCCCAGCCCCGCACGGCTGCCTCCTCCCTGGCGCTGGTGTCCCTGCCTGAGGATAGCAGCTGCAGGTGGACAGCCACCCCCCAGGACAGTGGCTGCCCTATCCCTAGGGCAGACAGATTGTACCACTGGAAGCCAGGAAGTGAGAGAAAAGGGGGTGAGCGCAGGATAAAGGTGGGGGAACCTAATAGTGATACGTGATATGGCTGCTTCCTCTTCTTTTCCAGGCCCTGGAGAGAGGCCCTCTCCCTGAGGGTTGGGGGAAGGCAGGGAAATCACATGTGACGCCATCTCTCATAAACCCTTCAGTTGGCCTCTCCTTTTTAGCCAAAGGCAGTTGCAGCCACTCTTCCTCCTCTACTTCTTTCTCTTTGTTTCTGTCCCCTTCCTGGGGCCATTGGTCCTGTTTCTGGATCCTATATGGCTTCCTGGAAATCTTCCCCAGTCCTCCTTCCCCCTCCCTTTTCCTCCACATCCTTGTATAGCATGTGTTCCTCCAGACCAGACCATTCAACTGGAGGGGTGGAGAAACGGGTAATCTCAGGATTGGCCTGACTTATCTGCTGGTGATAGCCAGAATCAGAAAGCGGGAGCACCAGCATATCACAGATGCCAAGGATGTGACATAGTGACCACACCCACTTCCTAGTTGCCCCTTGAGGACAGGATAGTCTTGCCTACCAGGTGCTAAAATAGGGCACAATCCCAGAGAGCCTGCATGTCAGAGTCCCCACATGCAGCTGGAGGCATGGCACTGTTGAACTGGGGTACAGCCACGAGGCAGAGAGGGAGCCCTGAGTCATACCATGGGGTGGGGACCCTGAGGAGCCCCAGGGGGCGGGGCCCAAGCTGATAACGGCCTTTGGAACAGGAATGGGACTGGACCTCCTTTATGATATTTGCTGATAGCATATTTGACAGTTCTCTTGTACTTAGTGAAAGGAAGAGGGGATGGCTCAAAGAGGGAGGAGCTCTTGTGTTTATGGCTGTAAGTTCTGGCACCAAGGGGTAGAGCAGGTTTGTGCAGAGGTTGGGGTGATGACAGGGATCGATGCCCAGAGCTGGCTCTTCACTGGTCTCTCTTCTTTCTCTAGCTCCTGCCCTAGATACATGATATATCTGTCACCAGCTCTTTCAGATCAAGCTGTAGGGCTCCGAGGTCAGGGCAGGGCACTGGAACTAGGACAGCTCCCCTCAGAGTCTCCTATCCAGTCACTCACCACCAGCATGGTCTTAGTGCTTATGGGCTTATGAGAATGGGGGGTATGGAACTTGGGGAGCTAACCCCCAAGCCTTGGGAAGTAAGAGTTTCTGGGCTGGCATTCACAAGAAGGGTGGGCTTACACTTCTAGGCACCCCCTCTGAAATCACCTTCCAGCCCATTGGTCTCCTGAGTCTTCAGCCTTCCTTTTCTTTTGCCCTACCCTTGCTGACCTGACTCTGATCTCTTACTTGTCTATTTGCTTCTAAGGGGTCTCTCTGGAGAGTAAGGTTGGGGCTGGTCTGAAGGGAAAAAATGACTTCAATGCCCCTGAGTGCCCCTTTGCATTCTTTTAAGTGCTCCCTCTTCCTCCCTAGATATCCAGAACCCGCCTATTACCCAGGACCCTTTCCGTTAGGAGTAAATGAACTAGCCTTCTTCTTACTAGTCTCCCAGTCTCATGGCCACTACCTAGACTGTTACATACCCTGTTCCTCATCTGCACTCTCTCCCTTTTATTCCTATGACTACAGCCTCCTTGCCTATCATCTCTCCTACCCACGAGTCCCACCCAGTAAAGCTGCTGTCTCCATCACAAGTGACCCAACCTCTTCCATATCTCCAGTCCACTTAACTCCTTTATGCTTAATCAGGACTAACTGCCCAGACTTTGTGGTCTGCTACTTTAGGGCTGCCTTCTCTCACACTCTAACTTTAGTTAAATGCCTTGACTTTCACCGGGGACCAATCTTTTCCTCTCTCCTAGTACTGGAAAAGATTGCAGATGAAGCCAGAGCACAAGACTTGCTTGACCCACTGAAACGTCATGTCTTGGAACTTCATCTAAGCCCCCGTTCCTCTTAGCTTGCTGAGTTCCTAGTGAAATTCCAGAGCATCTGTTTCCTGTGTTTTCCACCTTCTCAAGGCCCCAACTTCATCCTGCCCTATGACCCCTTAAGAGTTACCTTGCCTCCTGCAAAAATGAGATGATCTAATACCTCAACTTCTCTCTGCTTCATTCACGATAACTCTACTTCTATATCCGCCTTGTCTTTCTCCCTTTCTTCCCTGCAGTCCCAGAATAAGAGGTGGCCCTCTTTCTTGTTCCTTTGTTTATCCCTCTTCATCATTTTTAGTCTCTTCCATAACTGATTTCATCTCATCTTTAAAAAAAAAAACCCACAACAAAAACCAACCAAACAAAAATAAAGTGTTACCACTGTTACCTTGACCCTGCTATCTCTTCTAGCTGCCATTCTATTCATCTTATTCATTTCACTGTCAAATTTCTAGAAAGAGTACCGTAAACCTCATTTCCTCACCACAGAGTCACCCCTTAACTCTCTGAATCTGATTTCCTTCCTACACTTTTCTGTACCTAGAAGAACACAAATTACCTCATAAATAAGATCTTTAATAATCTTTTCTCTACCTTCATCTTCTTTGACTTCTCTACTTCACTTCACCCTGTTGCACATCCTCTTTAAAAATTTTTATAAAAACAACATTAAAAAATTCCACTATGACAACATCAAAGGAAATTTTGGAAGAAAATATACATCTATACTTCCAAACCCTAGACAATTGTTTTCATTTTTCCATGTTCCGTGCTTTTTCAATTTGTATAATATATATTTTTTACATGTGTAATTATAATGTATGTATATTTTTAAATTCTGCTTTTAAAAAACTTTTTATTGTAAATAGTCTCCTTGTGTTACAGTCTTTGATATTTATCATTTCAGTGGCCACATAAGATTACATCCCTCAGTAGATTATATTTTATTTGACTATTCCTCTATTATTGGGCATTTAGACAACTCTCAATTTTTCTGTGCTTTGAACATCTTTTTTTTTTTTTTTTTTTTGGTGAGGAAGATCAGCCCTGAGCTAACATCCATGGCAATCCTCCTCTTTTTGCTGAGGAAGACTGGCCCTGGGCTAACATCCGTGCCCATCTTCCTCCACTTTCTATGGGACGCCACCACAGCATGGCCAGACAAGCGGCGCGTCGGTGCGCGCCCGGGATCCGAACCCGGGCCACCAGCAGCGTAGCATGTGCACTTAATCGCTACGCCACAGGGCCGGCCCTTGTGCTTTGAACATCTTAGTGCATATGGCTTTTTTCTTCTGTGTAGTGCTGTTCCTAGGACAAGTTCCCAGTAGTGAGATTACCAGATCAAAGAGCATGAATGTTTTTATGGATCTTGATTTCCAAAAGGACTGCATAAATTTTCAACACCACAATAACACATGAGTGTTCCAGTTCCCTTGCAGCCGTACCATTGGACTTTATAAGAAATCTTTCTGGATGGCTTAAACAGTAATTTGTTAATTTCATTTCTTTGATTACTCGTGGGATTGAACACTTTCCCATAGGTTTACTATTTGCATTTCCTCTTGTGTGAATTGTCTGTTCATATCCTTCTGTAATTGGCATCTTAGTGGTATTCTTATATATCTAAATGTATTTTTAATGCATTTAACATACATCAACCCTTTTTCACTTTTGATATAAATATTTCTTCCATTTATTGTAATACTTTTAATTTTAGTTCCCTATTTTATCCCCATGCTTTAAAATTTCTCTCCTCCTACTTGTGTCTCTCTTATTACTTCCTCTCTTTGCTGACTTCTCTTTCTCTTTTACTTCCTAAATGAGCAGAGTTCCAAGGTCTGTCATAGTCATAGCATTTGGGGATTATTTAATCCCCTTTCCCCAGCTGACCCTTGATTTTCTCTTGGAGAAAGCATATATGCACGTGAATAAAATTCAGTTGACTCATAGTCCTCGAGAGTACCTCAGAAATCTTCTAGGCCTGGGCACCCTCTCACTTTACAAAGGAGGAAACAGGCAGAGATATGACTTGCCCATGATTTAGTAAGTTAGTGGCAGAGCAGGGAATAGGCCTCAGGTCCCCTGGCTCCCAGAGCTCCTTCCATTACACCATGTCAACTCAGTTCTAGGCCTGACCTTTCTCCCAAGTTCCACCTCTATATCTTCAATTGCCCACTGGACGGTTTCACTTGGATCTTCCATTGTTACTTTCAACCCAAGATGTCAAACACTAAACTCCCTGAACCAGTTTCCCTACTGTCTTGCTCATTTCTGTTCATGGCATCTTCTTTCCTCAAGTCACCTAAGCTTCAAAACTCTCAGGCAACTTCAACTCTTCTCCCTCCCTATTTCATGAAATTCTGACATTTCTTTCTTCATCGTGTGAATTACAATTGGCCTTCCTTTATGGTCCATTGCTACCATTCTAATACTGACTCTTGTCACCTTATCCTTGACTGACTGTCACAGCCTCCTAACTGATCTTCCTTACCTCCAGTTTCTCCTCACACGAATGGATCCTATACCACGCATATTGCCAGATTAATCAGCCCAAGCACTGCTTTCACAGTTTCACGGTCTCACTCAAAACTCTTTCATGGTTCCTTGTTGTCTACAAGACAAGTTTAAATCCTCTAGTCAGAAATTTAAGAGTGCCCCCTTTAAAGTCTTATTTTCCATTCCTCCCCAATACCAATCTCTCCTCTCTAGCTAATTTGGTCTCCTCATTCTTTCTCCAAATAAGGCTTGTACTTTCTCATCTCTGCACCTTTATTCTTCCTTTTCCCCACACTAGAATGCCCTCCTTTTCTTCTCCACTGTCCTTTTCCTACCCAGGTTCCAAAGCCAGACTTAAGTCCCACTTCCTTTTTGGGGCCTTCTCTGCTAACTCTTACCCGCAGTGAACTTCCTGGTCATTCCTACAGTAATTATTGTCTATATTAGTCATTTGACACTTTTTCGTCTTTTGACATTACTTATACTGTCATCTAGAATTGTTATTTAACTCTTTATATGTGTTTGTTTGGAGTTCCCACCTGTAAACCCCTTGAGTTACTGTGATCAAGAAAGAGCATAGGACTGAAAATCAGAAAACCCAAGTTTGAGCCCTGGTTATGAAAGTGGGGCTCAGGTGTGTCACTTGGGTGAGTCACTCAGACTCTCTCAGCCACAATTACATCATCTGTAAAATGAGGATCATAATCTCAGCTTTAAGTACTTCAGACTGTGGTAAGGCTCTGCAAATCTAGAGAGCTAAACAAATATAAATGGTTGTTGTTATATCATCCCATTTGCTTAATAAATGGTGCTTAATAAATATTTGCTGAATGATTACATGTCAGTAATTCAGTTTAATGTTTCTTCTCCTGAGTATATTTCCATGTTAAGAGGCCACAGGAACCCCAAGGAACCTAAAGATCTAGGGGGCACTTTAGGAGCAGTGGAGGTAGGGAGGGTATTAGAAAGATATTTTGAAGGAAAGTAGGCCTGTCCAGCATCTCTCACATCCCAATACACTGGCTACTCACTACTTGACCTACCTGTAAGGCTAACCTGGATGTGGAGATGAGAAGGTGGTACATCTGAGCTTTCACTTTCCCCACACTTCCTACTACTTCATCCCACAGTTCCCAACTGGTTAGGCTAAATGTTTCACCTAGGACTCTCTTTTTCTTCATTGATGTGATGAAAACCAGCATTTTGGTGAAAGAAGTGATAAGGAGTAATATAGAGAACAAGCAATTTTAGTCAGATAACCAGACTTGGCTTTGAGTCTTTGATCTGCTACCCACCAGCTGCATGATCATGGACAATTTACTTAATCTCTCTGAGATTCAGTTTCCTCATTGGTAAATTGGGGATAGTAGTACCTATTTGGCAGGGCTGTGGGGAGGTGTCAATGAAGTAATGGATGAAGAAACATCATTTATAGTTACTGTGGGTGGGAACCCCTTTTCAACACTTCTCGACTTTAGTGTAGCTGGACAAGGAACCAGAATTCCAGATTTGGATTTAGTGCTGCTTAGAAGTGATAGTTAATATCATGACAAATTATGAACCCTTGAATGTAAGAGGCAGAAGGCTAAGAACTGATCACTGAGAGATGACCATAGTGTTGGATTGGGAAGAAACAAATTAGGACTCTGGCATTGCATCAAGGATGAAGAGACTTTCAAAAAGAAGGACTTATAAAAGTTATTTAAAAGAAAAAACTTTGAAT